TCCCCCCCGACATTAGCATGAACTCAACATTTTAACAAAGAAGCATTGAAAAAATGACTGAGTCATTTGGTGGATTTGATTATGGAAATGGAGAAGTTTACAGCGGCAACTCAGGACTAGGTCACTGCCACCAGAAACTGCAAAGGGATTATTTTAAGAAGCCCAGACTTTACAATCAATGAAGATAACACAGGAAGGAAACTGGAGATTGCACAATGTATCATTGCAGGCTGTAAAAGGTTAACACCTGCCGAATGCCTAGCAAGAAATGACCTGGTAGCTAGAGTTATACTTCAAAAGCTCACTGTATTTCATGGAACATGACATATTCTCATGTTAGAAATACAAATCTCAAAATAACCTGTAGTACTCGGCCAATAAAATAGAACAGAACTTGACCATTATCACAAACTGACTTTCTTCCTGCAATCACTTGAACCTAGCCTTGCTCCATAAAAGCTTAAGAAGATTTTAAATAGACGTTACCATCCCCAATACTCATAATTTCCAAGCTATACAGGATGAAAACTTTTCAAAATATGGAAGCTGTAGAAGAAATCCAAATCATGTATAAATCGGGTAGAGTACAACGTATCTTCCCTATTATCTTACCTGCTGATAGAACTGTATCAAGGATGCTTTCAGTGAGACCCTGACAGTCAGCTTACATCTTAATACTTTTGTATTACAAAAACTACAAAGAGGAGTTAATTTTTCTACCTATCCAGTAGTCCACACACACACACACACACACACACACATTTAATAATGAGAGTGACATAGTGGCCAAGATAATTTTGATCCGAATCCCATCGAGAAAGGTGAGAATAATAGTAGTCATCATTTCAACTTATATTTCTATAGCACATTAAGGTTTACAAAGTGCTTTCTTCACAACTATGTAAGATGAATTGTGTAAATGGTATCTCCATTATATAGAATAGAGAACCTGAGACTTAGAAGATGTGATATACCCTCGGTGATAATGGTGCTTGAACTGGAATTCAAACCCAAGTTTCCAGACTGCAGATTGAGCCCTTTTTTCCACTGTACCATGCTGGTAGGAGGGGGATGGGGTGTGAGGGACCTAGGACTCAAGAGAGGTAGATGGAAAACAATGGAGAGGAAAAGATAGAGACTATCAGATTGGCACCCCCCCCTTCCTAAGTTTCTTCCTCAGGAAGATCTTGGCCCAGAGATTTGGGCCATACTGTGCTCTCTAGGTCTGGCTTATGATTGCATTGCCTTTGAATGAACACAAAGCCGTTGTTCTTGCCTGACCGGTGACCTTTGACGCCTCCAGAGATAGACCAGCAAACTCAATCATTCCCAAGGTTTGCCTAGATCCCTACAAAGCATGTAGGAAAACCAGAGGATGGGACCCAGTATAAAGTGGATGAGATAGACCTCTGCGTTATCCTTTCCCTGGCAGATCATATGGCAGACAAAGGGATGGGACATTATTGCAGGAGAAGGCATATGAGACTTTCTTACCTCAACAATTCACACCCATCTAACCACCTTCTGTCCCTTCAGCTGGAGAAGGCTGGTTAAGCTTAGATGAGGAATAGCCCCAGATCACATTTCTAACCTAACCCTAGCCAACACAGCTACTTATAAAAGATTCTCCTCAGATTCCATCCCCAGTCCACCCCCAAAACACAGATTTATAAACGTCACACCTCATCTTGGCATCTGGTGACACCTTGTGGTAATGATGAGTATTGTCCGTCCCTGTTCAGCTCTCAACCAGCAGAACAGAATTAAATGGACTGACAGATAGCATCTTAACTTACCTGGTTCTGAAGAACTTCCCCACCCTTCAAAGGGTTATTCTGATCAACATAATAACCAGTGATCAAACAGGTACTCTCCTCTTGATAGAGAAGTGAAGGACTCAGGAGTTCAGGTTGAAATTTTTTTTTGGATGGCCAATTCAAGATTTTGGTTTTTTTCGATTATACGTGTTCATAACAGGATTTGGTTCTGGGTTTTTTTTTTCCCTTGCTTTCTGAATGTGAAGGGGGGAAAAGGAGAAAGGGAGATAATGCAGACATAAAATAAAGCAATTAAAATAAAATAGAATTTTTAAAAATAAAGTACAGTTTCTTGTTTACCAATTACTTTGGGTGGGAATTGGTGAAAGCGTTAGGTGATTTGAATAATCCTGCTCATGTGCTTAAGAAAGATAAGGTAGAGATTTACTATTGATATAGGGAATTCCCCCCATGAGGAAAGCCCCTCCATTAATGGAGGTTGGCACCTTTACTGCACTTACAGCCTCAAGAGAGCACAAAGAAGTTAAGAGACTTGCCCAGGATCACATAGTTACCCTGTGTTAGGGACAAGCCTCAAACTCAGGTCTTCTGGGTTAGATCTCTATTTGCTGTGCATCACTGCCTCTATAACTCTATAATTGCCTCTATAATTGAGTAGAAATTGGAGGGGTCTTTTCAGTTCTCCAACAAGTTCCCTCAGGAGGAGAAGTATGATGGGACAAAAGCCATCAAGATTTGAAGGCACTATATCTGTGCTTCTGATAAGGTCTCCCGGGAAGTTGGAGATTTTTCTATTCCTTGGGAAAACTTCTGTGCTGCCAGAGGTTGTCAAGAAATAGAAGCTCTGATGACATTGGGGAGAACTGTGTCTCCCCAGACACGAGAAACTTTGAAATTTTTACCCCTCTGCATGTTAAAGGCTGAGAAATATCGACTCCTTGTTTTGCAGGGCTAGGCTTTACCTGGCCAAGAAACAGGTGAATAAGGGCTACTAGAAATGTAAGCAAGTAGCCTGATGGTGCCTCTGCTGGTGGAAGACAGGAGCTGCAGCAGGATAAGCCTTGACGTGTTTTGGAGGACCCTTCTAGGAGCACAGAAACTGTAGGAGCATAATGCTTCCTTCCCGATCCCCACTCCCTGCCTTTTTCTTTTGCAGAAACCTGCTGGGAATATCTAGGAACTTCAGGAAACTATTCTTTGATTTCTTGGACGAGTGAAGTAACCCAGGAAAGAGCTTTCTGTGAGTGATGACCATTTGTAAGTGAGGGAATTACTTTATTTCTTTTTTTTTTTGGCTTTTAGGCAATTGGGGTTAAGTGACTTGCCCAAGGTCACACAGCTAGTACATGACAAGTGTTTGGTCTGAGGCCGGATTTGAACTCAGGTCCTCCTGACTTCAGGGCTAGTGCTCTATCTACTGAACCACCGAGCTGCCCCTGGGAATTACTTTAGATCTTGGAAAAAGAATGGTTCCTTTTTTAGTTCTCCAAGATTATGTATTACTTTCTTGATCCCAGGGTCCTTTGGAGTCCAGAACCAGAGGTCTGCTCCCCCCCGCCCCCGCCCACGTTGGCACTACTGAAAAAGACCCTCTGGGTAGATGTATACCCTGAGCTGCTCAGGAGGGAGGTGAATACAAATATGCTCTTCTTGGGAGTCTTCTGAGGTTGGAGCAGGGTTTCTTAGTCTGGGGTCTGTAAACTTTTTTTTAATTGATCTTTTTTTCTTCCTATTAGTTCTTTTTTTCTGTTTTGTGGGTGGGGCAATCAGGGTTAAGTGACTTGCCCAGGGTCACACAGCTAGGAAGTGTCAAATGTCTGAGGCTAGATTTGAACTCAGGTCCTTCTGACTCCAGGGCTGGTGCCCTATCCACTGTGCCACCTAGCTGCCCCTGTAAACTTTTTCTTAACGCAAGCTGCGTGTGTCAAATATGCACAGCCATCAGAGTCGAAGAGTACCCTCTTGACCCCTGGAGGGGCCACCCAGATACATGGGCACACATGCCCTAGATGCAGGCATCAAAGCTGCCTCTTTTATTTATTTTTTATTTTTTTAATTTTTTAGGCAATTGGGGTTAAGTGACTTGCCCAGGGTCACACAGCTAGTAAGTGTCAAGTGTTTAGTCTGAGGCCGGATTTGAACTCAGGTCCTCCTGACTTCAGGTCCAGTGCCCTCAAAGCTGCCTCTTGAAAGCCTTGGAGAAAGCTACCATTTCTACCCACTGTTGCCCCAGAGAAATCTGAACCCTGCCTGGCATTTGCTAGAGACACTCAGAAGGCCTGCATTAATTGGATGGGATGCAAAGGTTAGAAATGGAATGTTTGGAAGGCATGACTAAATCACTCTGGGGGGAATGCTGAGGACCTTCATGTCAGCACTCAAGGTGAAAGGATGTGGGGTGGTGCATGGGGTAAGATGGAAGGAAACCATGTCCAGGTTGTTGGGCGTGCATTCCCTTGAAGATCATTCATCCAGGAAGGGGAAATGCTCACTATATAGTAAAGCCCAGAACCAGAAGGGAACATACTAAGTCTGTGATTTTCCTTGTCTGTAGTACCTCTGTGCCTAAGATAGGGAGGGGATAGCAGACTGAAAGACGCCAGTGAAGGGAGCTGTTGATAAGTATCCTGGTGGTGAGGAAGAGAGACAGACAGGGATAGGGCTAGCTAGGTGGTAAAGTGGATAAGCACCAGGCCTGGAGTCAGGAAGAACCATCTTCCTGAGTTCAAATCTGGCCTCAGATACTTGCTAGTTATGTGACCCTGGGCAAGTCACTTAGCCCTGTTTGCCTCAGTTTCCTCATCTGTAAAATAAGCTGGATGAAGGAAATGGATGGGGTCACACATTGCAGGTCTGACAGTCTATGATCTTAGTCCAGTCTTGAGGTTTAACATGTGAAGGAACTGAGGCTTAGAGAGAGAAAATGACACTAATAGCATTTGTAGTGTTTTAAGGTTTGCGATGGGCTGTACAGTCTATTGACCGAGGTTGCACAGCAAGGCAGTATCGGAGCCAGGGTTTGACTCAAGTCCTTTGACTCCCAGTCCTGTCCTACTACGTCCTACTGTCACCACATGCCAAGTACATGCCAAGGATGGGAAAGTGGGAAACTGAGAGGGGGGCCTGGAGTCTTCAGGGTGAGAATGTGTGTGGGAATGCCCTCTGTGCCACTGGTAAGATGAGGGAACCTCTGACAGGAAAGGAAAGGAGGAGGATACTCACCCACTGTGTCGGTAGATTTGAAAGTCTTGTGCAGAGGAGACTGAATAGTAGCAAAACCATGAACGCTGAGACTGAAAGAACTGTCTTCTTCTTTCTCTCCTTCTTCTTCCTCAACAACTTCTACATCCTCCTGGTTTTCCTGACGGGTCAGGCTTTCCTGTGGGGGGAACTGAAGGGTATAGGATTCCAGAGGCCCTAAGTTGGAGGTGGGAGAAGTCAGGTACTAGAATGGTAAGTCATCAAGTAAATTTGACAGTTCCCTATACATGCGGGAAGGAATGAGTGCCAGCTTACAGTAGGAGCTTAATAAATGCTTGTTGACTTGACTATCAAAACCCAAGGCATTGGGGAAAGTGACCTGTGACTCAAATCAAGCCAACTGTGTGAGTGAGCAGAGGGGAGGAGATGTTATAAAGAGGGCTTCAGGCCCAGTCATCACCCTTTCCGATCTGTGCCCTTTCACGACCCCTCGGACCTTAGCTGTTGCTGGCTTCCGAAGCTGCTTGTATATGTTGAGGAGTCGGTTCCATGGGGTTCCCTCAGCTGTTGCTGAGCCCAGTCTGAGGTCTTCTGTGGAGAGAAGTGCCTATCACAGCCGGGCAGCCCCCGAGCCAGGAGCTGAAGGAGGGAGTAGGGTACAAGGACATGGGATATAGGACGATAGGGACCATAAGTCTTATACTAAGTCCTACGTGGGAAAGGAAGAGGTCCTTTAAACTCAGCTTCTACACGTATTTTTTAAAATCACATAGTTACCCCTCATTTTTCTACACAAACCATGCCCTTCCCCTAATCCTCCAAGAGAACAGGACTCCTGTTATTTGCAGTCTTAGGAAATGGGAAGGGAGATTTATTTCTATAATTTGCCCACTGCTAGGTTTCTGTATCTTTTACCTTTTAGCGTCAAGTCTCATCCCTTCCTTAGGAATAGCAAGACACCATGACCCTCCCCCCACACACAATGGAAAAAACACAAAGCTGTTCTAGCCTTTATCTCTTCTTTCCCCCGACCCCCAGCTATTCTTACTCTGGAGTAGACACTCCTTCTCCTCTTCTGCTGTGAAGGCTTCTGGGCTGATCACCAGGGACCCCATGGCCATGGGGAGGCTTTCATTTTCCCCACACATGGCCTGGGCAGAATGCCCCCTGTTCCCAAAGCACAGTTAGTAAGTTGGGATGGAAATGGGGATAGAGGATTGTAATAAAAAGACAGAGTGGAATGGATTGAGAGGAGGGAGCAGAGAAGGCATAGACTGTGTTCACTGAAACCCCTAAAAAATGTTCTCTTCTCCCACAGTTGTTCTCCTCTTGTCTGTGGACCCTTTGGTACAGGGATCAAAAGAAGCCTAAATTCTCCTGGTGAGAGCCATAACCACACAGTCACACCCAGATGACCATTTTGTCCACATCTACTCCAAGAGTCTCTTTGGTCTTTTGTTGTTGTTTTTGGGGTGGGGGTGGGGGTGGGATAAGCAAGGAGCTGAAAAGAGTGCTACCCTCCCAGAAAAGGTGAAGAAAATTAGGGATAGTCATTTAAGTCAAGCCAGACCCAAGATGGGTCCTTGACTCCTCAGAAACTAAATGACAAGCCAGAGAGACTGGACTGTGAGGGCTGGAGTTGGATAATATTCAGCAGAATAACACTTACAATAACACAGCAGGTAAAAGAAAAACTGGTAGGAAAATAGAGAGGGTTAAGCTAAGTGTCAGAAATTGGTATCCCATTGATAACCAGTTGCCCAAGTCCCCCTGATCTTCAGATCTCTTTTGCTCCTCTCAGACCAACCAGATTCCCTCAGACTGCCCAAATATTCCAGCCTTCCTTACCTTCCTACAGTCCTCATATCTCCTGAGGCTTCTCCGGCTACTTCCTCTTCCTCGTTCTCCAGTTGGTCAATGGGTAGGTCTTGCCCTGCAACTGCTAGTGCCAGCTTCCCCTCAGGGCCCTGGATTCCTTCCTCTTGGAGCTCAGATGAGGCTTGGACGCCAGAGTCCCCCATCCCCAAGCCAGCTATGTCCATCTGGTGATGAGATCCCTTGGGTCCTGGCAGGTGGAGGGAGTGAGATGTCTTGGCCTGAAGGACCAGCTCTTCCCGGCTAGGCCCTGAGGCATCTTCTGTTCCCATTAGTGGGATAACATCCTGTTCCTGGCCCCTGCCTGAGACCAGGGCTTGGTCTGGGACCTGGTGACTATTTTTGCCCCCTGCTAGGCTCCGGAAGAGACGGAGCACTGAGGAGAGGCTAGAGTTGGGAGTTGCTGGGGCTGGGAGCTCCATCCCTGGTGGGAAGATGAGACAGTAATTGAATCAAAGAGAAGGAGCTGAGAGATGATGGCTGGTTGCTGCCACACAGATCCAACTGATTAAGAACAGGAGACAGTTTTCAAATTTAAATCTCTAACTGGAACCTTCCAGAGATTCTAGAAGTTCCAGGGCATGGGGTGGGGGTGGGGATCCAGGGTTAAGGATAGATCAGAGAAGCATGAGGGAAGTACCTGGAATTTAGGGAAGCATCTGAGGGCTGGGTGGGTGAATAGATAGATGGAAGATTGGAAAGATGAAGGTAGGGAAACAGAAAACTGATAACTAGATAGAAGAACAGAGAGATAGATGATGGATGGAGAGATGGAGCGATGGATACAGAAAGATGATGGATGGATGGATAGATGATAGATTGATAGGTGGATAGATGGATTGATCCATTGATCAATAGATGATAGACAGACTCATGTAGTGAAAAGAACACTGGATTTGGAAACAGGAGACCTGGGTTTGAATCCAGTCCCCAATCCCTAATGGCTTGGATAAAATCACTTCATTTCTTTGCACTACAGTTTTCCTATCTGTTAAGTGGGAGATACGACTATAACATTAGTCCTAACTATCACACAGGTGTTATGAAGAAAAAGTTTTCATGGAGTCATGGAATAGATTTAGACCTAGAAAGGACTCAGAGATTATCTAGTCCAATCTCCTTATTTTACAGATAAGAAAACTGAAGCCTAGAGGAGAGTGACTTTTCCAAATCATACGGGCACTAAATAATTGCTAGGACTTTAATTCAGATTCTCTTGATTCCAAATGCAGTCTTCTTTCTTTTTAAAACTTGTTTTTTAACTTTTTATTTTTAATTTTTTAAAATTTATAGTCTTCTTTCTACTATACTCCCCACTTAACAGATAGGAAAACTGAGGTGCAAAGAAAATGAAGTGATTTTATCCGAGGTCACTAGGGATTGAGGATTAGACTCAAACCCAGGTCTCCTGATTCCAGATCCAGGATTCTTTCCACTACACGACTCTGTCTATCATCTGCTAATCAATGGATCAAACTGTCTGTCTATCTCTCTAGCCATAGGATTTTAGCTATACCATGGACCCCTCAGAACTTTTTTCCTTATCTATAAAATGGGGAGAATGACCCTTGCAATATAGAGGGCAGCAAGCACACTGCAAGGACCAAATGCTGGATTTGAAGTTGGAGGACTCAAGGTTGAACCCCTCTATCCTACTTACTAGTAAGTCAATAAGCATTTATAAAGTGCCTACTATGTGTCAGGCACTGTGCTAAGTGACGGGGATACAAAGAAGCAAAAGCACAGTCCCTGCCCTCAAGGACCTTACATTCAGCCAGGGGAGACACATACATAAAATTGTACATATGAGACACATACTGAGTAGGAAAGAAATAAGCATGTGTGTGCTTACTATGGACCAGGCTAAGTGTTTTTAAGCATTCTGTCGTTTCAGTTGCATCCAACTCTTTGTGACTCTGTGAGTCATTCCTTCTCCAGCTCATTTTACAGATGAGGAAACTGAGGCAAATAGGGTTAAGTGACTTGCCCAGGGTCACACAGCTAATAAATGTGTGAAGCCAGCCAGATTTGAACTCAGAAACATGAGTCTTCCTGATTCCAAGCATGGTGCTCTGTCCACTGGGCCACCTAGCTGCCTAGAGAATATGTAGAAGTGAGTAAAGTATAAGAAGACTGGAAAGGTAAGAACTGGCTAAGTCGTGAAGGGCTTTCTTTAAAAGCCAAACAGAGAACTTTATATTTGATCCTGAAGGTAATGAGGAGCCACTGGAGTTTATTGAGGAGGAGAGGTGACATCGTCAGATCTGTGCTTTAGGAAAAATCACTTTGGCTCAGAGTAGGGAATGGTTTCAATGGATGGTGGGGAACCTGTGGTCTCGAGGCCACATGTGGCCTTCTAGGTCCTTGGGTAAGGCCTTTTGACTGAGCCCAAGTTTTACAGAACAAATCCTTTTATTAAGGGGATTTGTTCTGTGAAGTTTAGATTCAGTCAAAGGGCCCCACTTGAGGCCCTAGAGAGCTGTATGTGGCCTCGAGGCTGCAGGTTCCCCATCCCTGGACTAAAGGGAGAGACATGAGGCAGGAAAGGCAACCAGAAGACTATTCAAATAGTCCAGAATCAAAGTGACAAAGCCTGCAACATGGTGGCAGCTATGTGGGTGGAGAGAAGGGGACATATACGAGAGATATTGTGGAGGTAGAAACAGGACTTGGCAACAAATTGGATATGAGGGATGATGTGAAGAGTTAAGGGCAACTCAGAGATCAATGCTTGAATGACTAGGAAAATGGGAAAGTTGGGAAGAGGGGAGGGTTTGGGGGAAAATATAATGAGTTCTGTTTTGTACATGTTTTGTTTGAAATATCTATGGGACATCCAGTTCTAGATGTCCAGGAGGTAGTAGACAATGCAAGATGGAGCTTCCAGAGAAAAGCTAGGGCTGTATATAGAGAGCTGAGAATCATAGAGCTGAAGTGATCATTGAACCCATGGAAGCTGATGAGATCACCGAGTGAGATTGTAGAAGGAAAAAAGAAGAGATCGCACAACAGAGCCTTGGGGGACACTCACAGTTAGTGGGTGTGACCTAGATGGAGGAGAGGAATCAGGAGAGAGCCATGTCACGAAAATTTGTCTAGGAAAAGAGGATGATCAGCAGTGTCAAAGGCACTGAAGGAAGAGCATGAACATGGAACACCTGTGGCTGATGACAAGTTCAAGGGTATGGGATCATCTCTGTGTGGCATGGAGGTGGAATGGGGATTGGGGAAAATGAGAAAATGGGAGTTATAGGGTATTTTAGGGAATATTATAATGAAGTCCCCCAACATGAAAGCAGGAGTTGGGCTTGAGAGGAAGACTGTGTGAGAACACTTAAACCAGTGTCCTGGGGGTCAGTAGGTCACAGCTGCCAGAATCTTCAATGGGTGATAAATTTGGATTGAATAAACCTCAAAGGAGGAGAGGTTACTGAGTGATAGTGATAGAGGAAAAGTCTGGAATTGGTAGTGGGGAACAAGAAGTTTTCCAATTCTCCAGCCATAGCCAGTTGTTGCGGGGGATGCGGAGCACGAATGAATGTGCAGTTGGCATTGGAAAGAGTGATCAGTGGCACTGGAAAGGTGCTGTACTAAAGAGAAAGTGTGGAGTAGTGAAGAGAGAGCTGGACTCCGACTGAGGAAAATTCGGGTTCAAGTCCAGTCTCTGACACATACTAGCTGTGTGACCAAGGATGACTCATTAACCTCTCAGTGCCCCAAGGCAGCTGTCCAAGACTCTATGTTACAGAGTAGGTACTGATGTACAATGGCAGAGGGAGTTTATTGGACCAATTAAATTACAGGTCCAGACCCTCTTCCATTTTATGAATGTAATCTCTTTGCTATGGGACTCTCTCCTTATTGGTGGAGCTGATGGCCCAGTGCCCTGAATGAGGACCAAATGGGGCAGAGTTGATGAAAGATGAGAGAGCTGAAGCTTTCACCAGTCTCTTTGATTCCTTCTTCGGGACATGAAGCTCTAAGACTTGGAGTGTTGAGTTGCTTCCATCACCTCTGGCTTCCAGCTTTGAGGGAGAAGATGGAAAAGGTCAATCCTACTTCAAGTTGCTGAAGGAAAAGATTCTGGGAAGACATGAGAGGAGCAGGCATGAGAGAAGCTTGCTACCCTAGAGGCTTTAAGGAGCCTCCCCTTGGGTGGTTGAGCTAAATGACCCCTCTCTCAGTGGGAGAGCACCTTCACTCTGTATTGTCTGGTATATATTCTCCTATATACACCTTCTCTGATGTCTATTTTGCTATGATTTGAATAAACAGATTTCTTTGTTATTTGCTACATGACTTCATTGTGGAAATGGGAGTCAAGACCTGGATATAGAACTTTCCCCCCAAAAGGACAAGGTGGTTAAAAGTCATATCAGACCTGATTATATCTCCTACATGAACAGTATTTAAGGAAGCAGATAGGTATGTGTGTAGCCTGCTACCTCCTTTCTCTGAGGAAAGCAGAGTGGTAGCCTTGAGCCCCAGCCTCCTACTTTCTCTCCCGGCAGGAAGGAAAGTCTAGAGTAAGTCCATTCTTCCTCCCTCTGAGCCACACAAGGTCATGGTCCTCACCACAAGTGGGCTCGGCTACACATGGGGGCCCTTTCTCCTTGTACTATCATCTATATGATCTTGGGCAAATCATTTTAACTTCTCCCCAGTTTCCTCATTTGTAAAGTGATACCAAGAGGAGAACAAAAGAACAAGATGAGTCCTCTAAGGTCCCCTCAGCTTCAGGAAGGCTATTATTGTGATCGTTACTATGGATTTAAGTGACTTGCCCAGGGTTATGTAGTCACTATCTGTGGGAAATTGGACTTAATTTAAACCCAGGTCCCTCCTGGCTTTGAGGTCAGCTCTCTATCCACCAACCTAGCCACCTCTACCTCTCTCTGTCTCTGTCTTTTTAAAGAGGCAATAGGAGTAAAGTGACTTACCCAGGGTCACACAGCTAGTAAGTGTCTGGAGGCTGGATTTGAACTCAGGTCCTCCTGACTCCAGGGCCTGTGCCCTATCCTGTCCACCTTGCCACCTAGCTGCTCCCACTATCTCTCTTAAAGTAAAACACTTAATAAGCCTTAAAGCACTGCAGAAAATAAAGCACTATTCTTATTATTTCTCCCTGCAAAACGATACCACACTTTATTATATAATGCCTAATGAGGTCATATCTCATTTATTAATTTCGTGTATGTCTCAAATGAAATAATATGTGTATAGCACTTTATGAACCTTAAAGCGACATAAGTTAGTTATTATTTTTTAAAATTATTATTTTCCCTCCAAAACTGGGAGGCAAGGACTTAGACTTATGTCCCCATACAGCTCAGGCACAGTCCTGCCCTCAGAGGAAGCCCAGTAGATAATTCTGGATCTATTGACGGCCTGAAGGGAGAAGAGGTTTCAAGACGGACTGAGTGGGGAGGGGAAGAAGCTGGGGCTGGGACAAGGAGAAGGGGCAGGTTAAGAAGGCAAAGTCAGTGAGAATCACATACTCCCTCTGACTGAGCCTTCAGCCTCCCTGTGCTCCAGCTCTCTCTACACTGAGACAGGAGGCTGGAGGTTATCCTACAAGGAGGGGAACAAGCCAGGAGCCATCAGGTCCCAGCTGCTCCCAGAAATGGGGCCTCTAGAGGGAGCTCACCAGCCCCCGCTCAGCTCCGCCTCAGCTCTGTGATTGGATCCGAGCTGAGCAGGAAAGAGAAGCGTCTGGGAGCAGGGGGATGGACTGACCCACTGCCGCTTGCTGCTGCCGCTGCCGGTTCCTGAAAGCCGGGGCCTTAGGGTTTCTGTTCCTGGGGACGCAGGGGCAGCAGTACCAGGGTGAGTCCCATCCCACCACCCCCAATCCTTTGTGATCTGGGACACTGGGCCCTGAGCCGCGTCCAGTCCACACCCTGTTCAGGATCTCTGCCTGGTTATGAGAACTGGAGTGGAAGACCCTCTTCCCAGGATACAGGGATCACCCCTCCCTGGTCGAGGGAGAAACTCCAGGGTGGGCCAGTGCAGCTGACCCCACTGTAGTGCCTTTAGGGCCCTGCCCTGGCCGCCGGCTATCCCCTGCCCGGGCTGTGGGCTGAATGGGGGTTCCTTTGGGCAATCTGCCTGACTCGTACCCTCTAGCTCAGAGTTGAGGCCTCCTGGGTCTGTTAGATGGGGGAGCCAAGAAGAAGCAGGGGAGAAACTCGAGGTTCTTTTCCACAGAAGCCACAGAAGGTCAGGTTAGTGGGGGCTGAGTACCCAGAGCTGGGCATCCCTCCCCAAATGTCTCTTCCTAAGCTGCTCTGAATCCAAGGCAAAAGAAGTGTTGATGTTAAGTAGGGACATTCTGAGATTCTGGGGCCAAGACCTCCCCTAGCCCCCAAAACACACTCCTAAAAATCAGAGCTAGGCCTCAAGTAGGGGAAAGGGTGGTATTTCTAGACAGCCTCTAGATCTGAAAATGCTCCTTCCGAATCAGCCCCATGGATGGAGTACTGAGTCCTAGGGCCTTGGGAATGAAAGCATGTCCCAGAATCCTACAGAGACCCTCTGCTCTTCATAGGGTGTCAGATTTAGAGGCTAGTAGATTAGGGAGAAGCAGAGAGGAGAGCAAGCCTTATCAGAAGGTGTTACAAACTTCTCTGGAGCAGAATAGGGGTGGGTGTGCCAGGCAAAGGTCTGTTTTAATGAGGCCTGGCTCTGATATAACTCCCCTGATCTCAACGTACTTCACAAATAAAGTGTATGTTTGGTTTGGGTAGGTGAGGAAAATGATCATTGGAAGGGAAGGCTCCTGGCCTCTTAAATTAGGGTACCTTAGGGGGTGAAATGAGAGGGGACTCCTAAAATGGCCCTTGGCCTGAAGGAGGCTAGCATAGGCAGTGGACAGAGCCCTGGCTATGGAGTGAGAGGACCAGGATTCAGATCCCAAGTCTATGACTACCTGGGTGACCTTGGACAAATCCCTTAGATTCTAGGGGCCTCAGTTTCTTAATCTGTAAAATGAAGAGGTTTTCCCTGCCAGCTCTGAATCTAAAATCCTATGAAATAAGGACCTTCAGAAATTAGGGCTTTGTTGGGGTGGGGCCTGGCGTTCCCTCTGTAAATTTGCCCCCGAGGATGCAAGTAGGAAAGGAGAAGTGCAGCTTTGGTGTGATGGAGGCTATGGACATGTAGAGCAAGCTGGGGCATAGAGCAAGGTACCGAGGAAAAAACCTAAACTGAAAGTAAACTGTCTCAATTTCAGGAAATTCTGTCCCTTCCCCCTTTGGGGTCCAGAGAGTAGGGTGCTAAAAGTCAGGGGGAGGGGGAAGAGGAAACACAGGATGAGTGGGGAGATGGTAAGCAGGAAGCTGACAAGGTGGTAGCACAGGTGCATGTTGGGTGACATCAGCAGGCCAGGCAGGGTGGGGCAGCATGGTGAGAGCACAGAGAAGCATTTTAGAGGGGTTCTTCCCTCAACCCAATCTAAGGCTTCCTGGGTCTGGTTCCATGGGCTGCTCTGTAGAAACCCCTAACCTCTCATTAGCAGGCTGGCAAAGTGACCCAGAGTGGTGGGGATGATATTTAGGCCTGGCAGAGGGGCCTTGAGGATTCTCTGAGGGATAAAGGAAGAGGCACACAAACCCCAAGGATCTTCTACCCTAGGTTGCTTCTCTTGTGTCCTTAAGCCTAAAAGACATTACTGGACTTGGAATCAGAGAGCCTGGGTTCTAGCTCTATCTAGTTAGGATACTTAGTACTCGTGTGATCCAGGGCATCTCTCTGAGACTCAGTTTCCTCATCCAAAAAATGGGTGATTATATTTGCCCTGCTTATTTCATGAGTTGTTTGTGAAACAGGCATTTGTGAATCATAAAGTAACATAGATAAGACAGAGTGATTGATTGGGAAGATCACTAAATTTGGAGACAGAAGAATAGAACTGGCTTCAAATCCTGCCTTGCTATTTACTATAGGTGTCTTTGGACAAGTCATTTCCCTTTTGTGGGTCTCAGTTTGTTATTGCTGTTGTGTAGTCATTTCAGTCATGACTGACTCTTCATGACCCCATTTGGGCTTTTCTTGGCAAACGTACTGGAGTGTTTGCCATTTCCTTCTCTAGCTCATTTTACAGATGAGGAAACTGAAGTAAACAGGGTGAAGGGACTTACCCAGGGTTACACAGCTAGTTAAGTGTCTGAGGCCAGATTTGTACCACCTAGCTACCCCAACAATCCTGTGAGACAGGTGCCATTATTATCCTCATTTTACAGTTGAGGAAACTGAAGCAGACAGAGGTTAAGTGACTTACCCGTGGTCACACGGAGGCCAGATTTGAACTCAGGTAGATGAGTCTTCCTTACTCCAGGCCTGGCACTGTATTCGCTGTAGCACCTAGCTGCAAAATGGAGGGGAGATGGTCTTTAAGGTTCCTTGTAGATCCTATAATCCAAATATGAGCTATTGTTTATTATTTATTCATAATTAACCTTTTTGATTACAAACATGGGATAAAAACATGAACCTGAGTAGGTCTGCTGGTCCCAAGAGTACAGATAGAGGTGACAGGGTGTGTTTTGCCCTAAGTTTTTCACATGTCTTCCCACCTCACCTTGACCCCAGGATCCTCCATCCAGGCCCCTACAGGGCAGTACTACAAAGATATCTGTGGGTCATTTTATAGGAAGGAAGATTCATGTCCACTTGTTGGCTGTGTGACCTTGGGCAAGCTACTTAACCTTCCTCTCCTTGCCTCAGGCTTTTTACCTTAAAGTGGAGATCATAATACCTGCCCTGTCAACTTTACCGAGTTTTGGTGAGGATCTACGGAAGTGTATGTAAAGGGCTTTGTTATTGATATATGGGGGAATAGGGGTTCCAAGTTGCCCAATCTACCAATCAATGTCCCATAAACTTGTTAGTGGTGAGATCTCCAACCTTGAGGGTACCAGCTTTCAGGGGGTAGCATGCAAGAGCATCATTCATTCATCCAGTAATTCGACATTTATCAAGAGCACTTGTTACTGTATACCCTGCTGGTAACAAAGATAGATGGGACATAGGCCCTACTCTCAAGGAACCTGTAATCAGTTCAACATGATTCGATAAAAGACATATATGCTAATCAAGGCAGTTAGGCAACACAGATCTGAGTTCAAATCCAGCCTCAGACACTTAACTAGCAAGTGACTTAACCTCTGCCTATCTCAATTTTCTCATCTATAAAATAACCTATAAATTATAATTTTAATAATATTAGTATCATAATATTTGAAATATTAATATTAATATAATATAGTAGATAAATCATAAATTTGTAAACTATAAATAAAATATAATAGTAAATATTATATTAGTAATACTAATAATATTAGTAATAGTAGTAATAATAAGATTTACCTCCCCGAGTTGTCATGGGATAAGATGAGATGATGTTTATAAAGTTCTTACAAACTTTAAAGCTGCTGGCTGTCATTATTATCAATAAAAAGGACAGAGAAATAAGGTACTAGAAGAGAGAACAGGGACAACTAGGTGGTATAGTGAATAGAGCTCTGGCCTTGGAGTCAGGAGGACCTGAGTTCAAATACAGCCTGACAGTTAACACTTACTAGCTGTGTGACCTTAGGTAAGTCACTTAACCCTGATCACCTCACCAAAAAAAAAAAGGGCAGAAAAAAAGAGAAAGAGACAGAACAGATTATTACAATGGTCCCAGACTTGGGGGAAGGGGTCAGAGAGAAACATGGTGGAAACATGACCCATGAACTATGACCCAAGGCAGCATGTGGAGAAGGCCACGACAATGCAATACAACATAGTAAGAATATGCTTATTAGTGAGCAAGTACCACACCCATCTCCACCCCAGTCAAGGGACAGCAGCTTCTCTTCCCCCTTCTTTCCATGCTTTCCCTCCTCCCTCACTACCCTTGATGCTTATCAGATTTCACCTGCGCTGGAGTGTGATCGAAACCATGGAAAGAGAGCTAGAATTAAAATCAGAGGACCTGACTTCAAATCCAAATTCTGCTACTTGTTACTTACATGACCTTGGGCAAGTCTCAAGAAGTTAAACTACTTTGGGCTTCAGGACTTGGACTAGATGACCCTTTAAGTTGGTCCCTTTCACTCCCAGATGCTTTGATCCTCTGCTTTTCCTCCAGTCAGCATCCCTTCCCCTCCCCCACTACTGGTGGTTTTGATCAGGAGGTTCAGACAGGGGAGCCAAGCCCTAGTAGACATGGTGGTGTAGGAGCCACAGATAGATCTGGGCTAGGCTGGGGACCAGAGGTGCCTCATCTAATACTTTACCCAGTGTGTTGCCGTGTGTGTGCAGATAGGGTTCAGATAGTGGACAGTTATAAACCTCTGAACTAGGGACAAAACATCCTTGTTCATCTTCATCTTTATTTTTTTTTCTCTCCCAACATTCCTCTCCCCTTTTCTCAAGCTGGCACTATCATTTTCAGCATGGCTTCTAGGCAGGTGAGCCGGGTTCGAGCCCCCTCATCTACTGCAGGTAAGAGTATTCCCCTCCTATCTTCTAGCTCTAAGGAATATCTTCTGGTTGAAGAGTTGAGATAGAAGTTGGGGGTGAGGGTGGAGACTGAGGGGGAGCCTGACTCTTGGCTTTTTTTTTAACCTGCTTTGAATGCTAATTCCTTAGCTTCAGCTTACTCTCCTGCGATGGGGTTGTGGGGTTGTGAAGATGGAATGACAGGGTTTATCTTTTTGTCCCTTCTGTGTGGGGAAGCACCATGCTGCTGTGATTTCACTTTTCTCATGTACCTCTGTGGTCTCTGGGAAGGGGAAACAATCAATGGGGCTGGTTCTGGGTGAGAGTCCTGGGGATAAGGGAGGTAACCCTGCCTCTCCAGTCTGACTTCTCTAGAGAGGAATTGACTGGCCAAGATGAGAGAGAGAGCAAACTGACAAAGAAACAAGGAACTGTGGGGCAGCTAGGTGGCACAGTGGATAGAGCACCGGCCCTGGAGTCAGGAGGAACTGAGTTCAAATCTGGCCTCAGACACATAACACTTACTAGCTGTGTGACTCTGGGCAAGTCACTTGACCCCAGTTGCCTCACACACAAAAAAAAAAAAAAGAAAGAAAGAAAGAAAGAAGGAACTGAGAGACAGCAAGGTGCAGGGAAAATTCTCTCTAGATTTAGAGTTCAATCCCAGCTCATCCACTTGCTACCTATGTGACCTTGGACAAATCTCTTCTTTGCCCTCTCTGAGCCTCAGTTTTCTTGTAGGGAGAGGGTTGGGCCAGGTGCTCAGACATTTTGTGTTCTGAATTTTCTGACTTGTACTCTAAAAGATAAAGGGATGGCTTTAGGCCCTTGTGGAAGGAAGGCAGGCTAGGGAAGAAGGGTGGCATGGAGGAGAGGATACCCCCTTCTCCCACCTCCCACCTCCCACCTGGTCCTAACACTGAGGGTTTGGTTCACAGAGGAGCAAGTGGCCCGACAGACTGAAGATGTTTTCCGAAGCTATGTCTACTACCGCCACCAACAAGAGCAGGAAGCTGAGGGAGAAGCCGCTCCTGCTGACCCAGAGATGGACACCCTGCCCCAAGAGCTCAGCAGGTAAGGGAGGGAGAAACACAGAAAAGCACTTCCACACGTATGCACATACACATACATACACATTCATACACACACATGTACACACACATACACACACCCATTCAGTGATGAAATGGCCTTGCCCTACCTGTTAATTGAAGTTGTATGTTATTTTTTTAAATTTAATTATTTGTTTTATTTCAATTAATTAATTAATTAATTTGGGGGGGGTGAGGCAATTGGGGGTTAAGTGACTTGCCCAGAGTCACACAGCTGGTGAGTGTTATGTGTCTGGGGCTGCATTTGAACTCAGGTCCTCCTGACTTCAGGGCTGGTGCTCTATCCACTGCGCCACCTACCTGCCCCTGTATGTTATTTTTACTGTATGAAAAGTATTTGTGTTACATATTATTAAATTGTATGGGTCAGCTAGGTGGCACAGTGGCACCAGGCCTGGAGTCAAGAAGACTTGAGTTCAAATTTGACCTCAAACACTAACTGTGTGACTCTCAGCAAATCCCTTAACCCTGTTTGCCTCAGTTTCCTCATCTGTAAAATTAGCTAGAGAAGGAAATGGCAAACCACTCAAGTATCTTGCCATGAAAACCCCAAATGGGGATTACAAAGAGTTGAACACAATTAAAATGACTCAACAACATTATTAAATTGTAAGGGTGATTGTGAAGAAGCCACTAGAAAGGGACCATGTAGAAAAGAAGGGTACGGTTAGGAGGAAGGTATCAAAAAAAACCCATAAATAGGTTCACACTGGGAAAGGCATAAATGTTGCCTGATCCCTACCAGGTAGTCAGAGACCAGAGTCACCAGGTAGGTACAGAGTGGGAGTACATTAGAAGAGAGAAGATGAACTCTGAAGCCAGAAAAGAGAGGAAGTTGGTTTGGGGTACATGTAGACAAGTGGTTATAGGTATGGCCATCTGTAAGGATCATGGCAGCTGGTCCCAGGCTGTCCCTAAGGTCCCTTTTTCTGAAGGCTCTGAATACTATGATTTTAAGAACTGAGGGAAGAAGGCTTTTTATCAAGAACAGCCTGCTCAGCCCAGAGTCTGACTTGGTGGCAACCATAGAGGAGAATGGGGGTTGTTTCTAAGGGCCACTAGCTCAGGTAGACTAGAAGGGCTAGGCTGTCAGAAAGTGAGGAGAGCCTCAGCCCTGGCAACCAGTGTTCTATTGGAAAGACTTGTGCATGTCATGTCTAGCATATTTCTTTGCCCACATCCAGTCACATACACATATACCCCTTGAGTTCTCTATCTCTTGTCCCTTTTCCATTTTTGCCCTCCTCATTCATGCAAAGCTGTAACAACTCCTCTACCTTTGACCTTTTTCCCCTCCACTGCCAATTTCCAGAACCTTGTTTTCAAAATTTAGACTTCCAAAGTATTTATTTGCAGATTCAAGTCCTCCAGTTTGGGTGTAGAATTATCCCCCAAAGATGAGGGAACAAGGTAAAGGCTCTTCTTGTGGCAATCCTGACCTCCTCTGTTTTTCTGCTACTGCCCCAGCACCACTCAACAGGTTGGCCGACAGCTAGCCATCATTGGGGATGACATCAGCCGTAGGTATGACTCAGAATTCAAGGACATGCTACAGCGTTTACAGCCCACCTCAGAAACTGCCTATGAGTACTTCACCATGATTGCCTCCAGGTATCTCCCTCCTCCAGTTCCTCCAATGTCACTTTCAAGTAACCTCTCCTTCCTTCCCTTTCTGTGCCCTGTCCAAGCGTCTCCCTGTGTTGCTTCTGCATTCTCCTGTTGCTGTGAAGCAACCCCCTCTCTGTAGTCCCAACCCTTTTGATGGCTAGAGTGTGAGTACCAATGTATACCTTTCACCTGGGAACATGAAGGGCAGATCTGTACCTCGTAGGACTGTGGTGAGGAAAGCCCTTTGTAAGCCTTAAAAGCTCTATAGGAACGTGAGCAGTGTTTGTGAGGAGGGTAAGGGTAGGTGGTCACTTCCTGTGGTTGGCTCTATTTTTTTTCTGTTTTCCCTAAAAAGCAGGGTAGTACAAAGGAAAGTACAGTGTTTGATGTCAGGAGACCTCAGTTTTCATTCTGACTCTGCCACTGACTAATTGTGTGATTTTGGGGGAGTCATTTCCTCTAATGCTTGCCTTCTTCCTTTGTAAGATTGGAGGGTTAGACTGGATGATTCCAATGGGATGATTTGATTTGCTCAGCTATAAATCCCATGATCCTCTGAATAACAGAGTTCCTTCTAGGACTTGTGGGATAGAGATGGGGTAAGAGGGATTGCTCTTAGCCCAGTCTCCCTTGTTACCCAGCATGTACTAGAAGAACAGCAGCAAGAGAGTTTGAGCCCTAAAGACAGCTGGCCCAAAAAACACTCAATTCCCCGAAAACAGGAATGAGATATGAAAGCTGCTATTATGCTGGACACTTGGGTAAGAGTTAGCATTACAGTTAGAGTTAGGGCTAGGCTCATCTTCCTGAGTTCAAGTCTGGCCTCAGACATTCACTAGTTATTGACTCTGGGCAAGTCACTTCACCCTGTTTGCCTCAGTTTCCCCAACTATAAAGTGAGCTAGAGAAGGAAATGGCAAACCACTCCAGTATGTTTGCCAAGAAAACCCCAAATGGGGTCATGAGGAGTCAGACACAACTGAAATGACCCAACCACAACCCAAAGGCTACCTTATTTTTCTGTTAGGGTTCAGTTGGTGGTTAACATTAGGAATAGGAGATGTTTGTTGGCCTAGACTCCAGGGGTGGGCAGGAGAGATGATGTTCAGGGGCCTGAGTGTGAGCCATTCTCCCTTCCCTGAGGTGGCCCCCTCATTCCTTCTTGAGCTTCCGGGACCTAACCTCCTCTTCTGTCCTCTTTCTCCCTGCTGTCCCTGCGGGATGTCAGGCTAGCAGTGGCTCCTTGGCTTGCAGGTAAATCCCCTTCCCCCTCAATGCCTCAGGCTCTCCTCCCTCCTCTCTTGCTCTCTCTGTTGGATACTCTGTGCTGGGAGGAGTTGTGGGAGTCATCACTGCGCTGAAAATGACATGCAGGTTGAATGACAACCAGTCTGGGAGGTGGTCCAGCTGTGCCCAGCTGTTAGCCCCTTTGGGGACCAAGCCCAGATGGTATCCTTCCAGGAGATCCAGGCCCAGAGTTTTTCTCTATTAAAATGTAAATTCCTTGAGAGGAAGCATTTTTTCTTTCCTTGCATTTGAATCCAGGGTGCCTGGTGAATAACAGGCAATTAATAAATGCTTGATTGAGCTCTAGGAGTCTTCCTGAGGCTAAGTGGGCTTGGATGAATGGGGGATTTAGACTACCTCTGGCTGTACTCCCAAATGGGACAGGGCTGCTGCACTGAGACAGCATCCTTTTGGGGACCTCCCACACTGTGGGCTGCTTGCAGTCTCCCCAGGGATTGACAAACAAGGTCTCTCCCCATCCCCAGGGAGAAGCCTGGGTGGTTAAAGCCTTCCTTCAGGCTGCTGTGGCATACACCTGAGCCTCCTCTTTAGTCCCATAGGGTTAGGGGGTGGGACTAGTGGGAAACGGGTGAAAAGAAAAGTCACTCACTTGAGGCTTTTTACCCCCTGCAGCCTGTTTGAGAGTGGCATCAACTGGGGCCGGGTGGTGGCACTGCTGGGCTTTGGCTACCGGTTGGCACTTCATGTTTACCAGCGGGGCCTGACTGGCTTCCTGGGACGCGTGGCTCGCTTCGTAGCTGACTTCATGGTCCAACACTGCATCGCCCGATGGATTGCCCAGAATGGGGGCTGGGTAAGCAGGGGCCCTGGGGGGAGGGAGGGCATAGAGGGATGGGATAGCGATGGGGGAAAGAGGGAAAGGGACTAGGCAGGGTGAAATGTTTTAGAAATCAGGGTAGAACTCAGGAGGTGGGCACGGGGTGGGGGCCTGCCGAATTCTCCCTCCATCCTTCCAGGTCGCCCCTCACCCCACTAGTTCCTGTACCTTCCGTGATGCCCATCTCATCCCTAGGTGGCAGCCCTGGACCTCTCTAACAACTCCATTTTGTACGTGATGACGGTCTTGGCCGTGGTGCTCTTGGCTCGATTCGTTATCCGAAGATTCTTCCAGCCCTGACTCCAGGAGGGGGAGGCCTTTCATGAAGACACAAGGCCTAAGTCTCTCCCGTCATTCCTCTCCTCCTGAGTCCATCATGCCCTTCCTCCTCCTGGATCAAAAGGGTAGCCCTGTGCTACTATGACAGATCAGCTGGATGGTGGTCACTCCAGGCCTCCAGGCATCTTTCCTACCTGGGAGCCGGGGGTACAGGGTACCCTCCCCAAGCCCTTCATGCTGCTTATAGGCCCTTCTCTTTAGGATCCATCTCACCAGGTCAGAGAGGAGGCCACAGCTGTGTGATTGCAGCTCCACCCTCTCCCCAAAACATACACACACACACACACACACTCACACATACACACATACACACAGATCCCAGAGATCTTTGTGTGTGTGTATATATGTATATAAACATACACATATACATATATGGGTCCTAGAAACCCCTTTGTGTGGATACACACACACGTGGATCCCAGAGATCTCTGTGTGTGTGCGCATGTGTATACACATATGCATATACATATATGGGTCCCAGAGATCTTTGTGTGCATGCACACACATACATGTGGATCCCAGAGATCTCTGTGTGTGTATATATGTATGTACACATACCATATACGTATATGAATCCCAGAGGTGCCTTTGTGTGTGTGTGTGTGTGTGTGTGTGTGTGAGAACATATACACAACACACACACACATCTCTGGGAAGCCTCCAAAATGGGCATTTAACTTCTTGATCCATCTGGAGGCAGGTAGGTTAAACTACTTATCTGTAAGAAGAGCTTTTTTTAAAAAATATTTTAGTTTTTTATAATTGCTTAGGTTGCTTACCTTCTCCTCCTTTCCTCCTCCCCTTCCCCAAGGCCTTGACTCTTGATGGTGAGGGTGTCACGGTAGCCAATAGTTATCAAGTCCAGATACTGATTGGAAATGCCCCTCCCACCAAGGGCTTGAAAAGTGGGATTAGGATATTAGAGCTGGAAGGGACCTTAGTGGCATCTAGTCCAGCCCAGTCATTTTAAAAAAGTGGAGAAACTGAGGTTCAGAGAAGGAAATTGATTTAGTTATGGTCTTATAGAGAATTAGTAGCAGAATTCAGATTAGATTTATAGACTTGTTAAAATTGGAAGGCACCTTGGAGTCAGTTTAATCCAACCTCATTTTACAGAGGGGAAAACTGAGGCATGGGAGAAGGGAAATAACTTACTCCCATAGTAAGTGTAGTGACAGAGCCATGACTAGTTTCATAGACTCAAAGGGGCAGAGCTGAGGACTTAGAGACCATCTGGTCCAATCTTTTCATTTTACTGATGGGGAAACTGAGGCTCAGAAAGGAGACCTGAAGATACTCCTTACTCTGCTTCTGCCCAGCTCTGATCAGGCTGCAACCAGCCATTTTCTCAGGTTTCTTGGGCCTGTGGGGACTCTACCTCCCCTTTCCTCCCGAAAAGGAGACACCCCCCCACCCAGGGTCCAACTTGCTTACTTGGTAACCCTTCACCTAGCTTGCTCCAGTCCTCTGCTCCTCATTGTTCTGTTTTCTACCCTCCCCTCCCCCCATACTGACCTTGGCCCAAACCCTACCACTGCAATCGGTTGGATTGCCCTGCCCTTCCCTTGCTATCCCACCCCCATCCCAGACACACCTCTATATTTCCCAAGTTTCAGGTTTGAATATAGAGGATTCTGTCTTTAGGCCATTTGGCCAAAGACTAAAGAGAATGAGCAGGGAGCTCAGCCCTGATCCTATCTCTACATACCTGTGGAAGGTGGGATTGTACACTAATGGGCAATCTGTGGGGTACTCTTAAACCCTGAAACGAGCCAGACTGGCCCAGGGCACAGTGTAATACCTGGGGTGGGGGGAGGGGACACTGAAAACCCAACCCTGCCCCCCCCAGTGCTTCTGAACTGCCTACCATATGGGTGGCCTTGAGGAGTACCTTAAGACTTTTTGATAATAAATGTGCAATCCCACAACCCCTGCCTTGCTGTTTTTATACACACCTAACTGAGTACCCCTGCAGGTCCTGTGCTGCCCTTCACCACCACCACCTCCCATCTAGTTCATGAAGACCTCCTGGCAAAGATCCAAGGAGAGATGTACCCAGGCTGATGAGGCTGTTTTTTCTGACCACAAGTACCTAAGTGTTTGAGCTCAAAAAGGCGTTAGGGATCGCCAAGTCTAGCTCCTTCCTTTGACAGAGAGAGAAATGAGACCGGAAGAAGACAAGCCTGGGAGCATGGAGACCACGAAGAACAGATGTGAAATTCAAATTCAAGTCTTGTGATGGTCAATATGGTGTAATTGTAAGAGCCTTGGATTTATAGTCAGAAGAAAGACCTGGGTTCAGCCCTTACTTCTGCACTTAGGACCTGTGAGGCCATTTTATGGAGGGGGAAACTGAGGCACAATATGACCCTCAGTTCTCTCCTCTGTAAAGTAAGGGGTTTGAACCAGATGGTCTCTTAAGTCTCCTCTAAAAATCCTAACTACAAATCTAAGGCTTTTTACACTAAACTACACAGATCGCTCACTTCAGTGAGACCAGGAAGACTTAGACCAACTTGACCTACTACCTTTTATCTGAATGAAGGGGTAGGAAGGCCCTCCCCTAAATGAAAAACCAGGAGAGCCTCTCATATCTCATAGGAAATTCAGGTAGGACGGGACCTTAGCTCAATCCACTCATTTTACAAAAGAGAAAACTGATCCCCAAGGTAGGTGATAGGTTAAGGGCCAGGGCTGGACCTCAATTGTCCAGGCTCTCAGCCCAAGGTTCTTTTTGCTATATCTGACCACTGACTCTTGTGGGGAAGCCAGGTGGTGCAGTGTGCAGAGTGCTGGGCCTGGAGTCAGGAAGACTCATCTTCCTGAGTTCAAATCTGGCTTCAGATACTTACTAGCTGTGTGACCCTGGGCAAGTCCTTCACTTGCCTCAGTTTGCTCACCTGTAAAATGAGCTGGAGAAGGAAATGGCAAACCACTCCAGTATCTTTGCCAAGAAAACCCCAAATGGGGTCACGAAGAGTCGGACAGGACTGAACAATAAAGGAAGGCATTGGGGGGAGTTTGGTGCTCTGCTCTACAGCCCTCCAATCTGAGGGGAGAGGAGGCTGAAGGAAGTAGTGTCAATCAAGGCTTGAGTTAGCAGCACCTAGGTGAGCTTAGAAGTGATGCCTCCCCTGGGAAGGGCATCTTGTTCCAGGGAGTGGAAACCAGGCAGGGCAGCAGATGCAAAGTGGAGATGAAATGTCAGATCAATAACACCAAAGGAAAACACCAATAAGCTCCTCTATTCAGTCCAGGATTGCACAAGAAGACTGCTAAAAACCTGTAAACACTTTTGTGTGGGGTGCACCTAATCTCAGGCAAGTAAGGTTCAGCTGGCAGGCTCTAGGTCCGACTGTCCAACCCTTGCTAGCTCTCATTGTTACTGTGCAAATATACTTGATGCATTGTGACCTGTATACAGCTTCACCCTAGCCAATGTGTGCATGCCTTGGGGCCCTCAAAGACAGAGCCAGCCCCCTAGAAAGGAAGTGCCCAGAGAAATGGAAAAACTTAGTGTGGGGCAACTGGGCCTGGGGAGGTGTGTGTGTGTGTGTGGGAAACCTTCCAGTATTCATTGGCATCACCTGGGGATCCAGGAGACAAGGCAGTGTGTGTCCTAGGACCCTTTTCAAGAGAAGTGAAAAGTCCTGGTTGGTGATTGATTGCACAAGGAAAAGGAGACAGAGACAGGGGGAAATCAGCACCTGCTGGTCAAAAGGAGATGGGGGCAGAGGCCAGAGATTGTGGCAGAGCAACAGCAGAACGTGGAGAGTGCAGAGGAGATAAGAGCAGGCAAGGCCTGCCCACTCCCCACAAGAGTTGGGGAAGGAAAGGAGCCTGGCTCTGGCACAAAGTCCCAACGACTAAGGCTGGAGATGCGTGTGTTGCATGTGTATATGCTCTGGGAGCCAAACCTGCTACGAAGCTTAGCTCAGTTCCTACATAGCATTGGTCTCACCACGTTCATTTCTAGATGCTACTGCCCCATGAATCCTTATCTCAGCTTCCACGGCCTGGTCCAGAAAGTCATTCTCTGCTCCTCAGGGAAGCAATCCTGGGCTGGCTGTAACCCATAGCCTAGAACACTGAGTGCTAGAACACTGGGACTCTGGAAGCCCCCTCAAGACCTTTCAAATTCACTGACTCTACTCTCTTCACCACACTTCAGTCCTCCCAAGGGTGAAAGGAACATCTGGTGTCCATAGCACTTTCTGAATGCTTCAGAAGTCCATCAGATATCCTTCCCTACACCACATGGTTAGCCACCTGAAACCAGTTACTCTACCCTCCCTTCAAAGCACTTTGCTTACACATTGCCACGATTCTCCTGGAAACAAATTTCTTAGCATCCTTGGCATGAAGACGTTTCATGAGCTAAGTAAGCTTGATGAAGCCTGATTACCATCATCACCATAACTAACATTTACAAAGCACCTACCATGAGCCAGGCACTATGCTAAGCATTTTATTATTTATATTTTTATTATATTATTAAGACATATGCTAAGCATTTATTATTATCTCATTTGATCCTCACAACAACCATGGGAGTTGGGTGCTGTTACTATCCCCATTTTACAGATAAGGAAACCGAGGCAGGCAGAGGTTAAGCAACTTGCTCAGGGTGGTGCTGCTAGTGTCAGGTCTGATTTGAACTCAGGGCTTCCAAATTCTGGTTCTGGTCCTCCATCCATTGTTCCCCTAACATATGAGTATGTGTCAGACCCTTATTATGCAAGTAAACAGAAAGAAAAATGAATACAATAAAGAAATACTCAGGCTTAAGAGAAGCCAAAGAAACTCTGTATTTCCCTTAGCTACTGTTCTTTTCACTTATGCAAGTCAGAAGACCATATCAAGATGCCATCTCACACAGAACATTCCATAGAAACCATGATGCTTGTTTTCCATATGTTGGCTGGGGACAAAGGCTACTTAAGGTTGAAAATGAGTGTCTTCCAGAAAAAGAGTTCCCTAGAATTTTAGAAAACCAGACAGACCAAGAGGTCTGTGACCATAATCATGAAAGACCTGAATCAGTATCAGAATGGAAAAGTGGGCTTCTGGAGTTTTGTTTTACTAGTTGCTGGGATGACCATCCCATACAAAGACATGAAGCAGAAAGGGGGAAAAATGAAGTTAAATCAAGGACTTTCTCCTAATCTTGATGCAATGCACTATTCAGAGGAGTATAAGGGATCTCCCTACATAGTTGCCCCTAGGATAAGGGAGTTGCATGTGGAGACTATGAGCCCTTAGAATATACAAGTGAATTCCAGAGTAAAGGAAAGAAAA